AACGGTAACCTGGTTGCCGAGTTCACGAAGTGAATTGGCTTGTTTTACAACGTCGTTGCCAAGCGACGAAAACCCAACCCCGATGGCAAACACTGGGGGGGCGCGGGGGGGCGGGGGTAACTTTTTTTTTTATTGCGGATCGGTGGCAGAGATTGGAAGAGAGAGAGAGAGAGAGAGAGAGAGAGAGAGAGAGAGAGAGAGAGAGAGAGAGAGAGNGAGAGAGAGAGAGAGAGAGAGAGAGAGAGAGAGAGCAGGAGAGTGAAGAGGAAAGGGGAGGGAATAATGAGCCTCCACTTGGTTGTTTCTCTCTCTCTCTGGCGACCAAAATTGTGCACACTGAAGACCCAGACGCAGGCTCACTCACCACTCCCAGCTCCTCGGCGAGCGCCTGGAACCGCGCGAGGAGCGCGCTCTCATTTGGGTTCTCGGCGAGCAAGAAGTGCTCCTCACGCTGCTCCTGGCAAAAGTAGCGGGTCGAAAACAGCTCCTGCAGCAGGATCACCTGCCGCGGCGGCGGGAGAGAAAAGAATCACAGCACGGACGAGAGAAGCGGGTAAACAGCGGCATCCTCGTGTGTCTCATCTCTCGCTGTGCTCACGAGTGACGTCGATCATGAAGGATATGCGAGCAATAGTTTGGGTCGATCATGTCAGGCATGCAAGGGAAACATCTACCCACTGAGAAGTTGAGAAATCCTACCGCCGTTATCCAGATGTTCCAACCAGTCCACGTCGTTTCGAGTCTCCCCCATTGGGTCAATGTAGACGTCAAAGCTACTGGCTACTTGCCGGCGAGAAGGTTGGACTTTCAGCCGCTGGTTCTCCGTTTCTCTGCGTCTGTCTGTCTTGTTATTTTCCACAACACAGCAATGAACAGGAAGGGAGAGAGAAGTGGAGAAACATGAAACAAACGTACTTCGTAGACGCAGCTGCTATCTAGTCTACACCTAGAGGCCATGGTGGTAGCGACAGGGTGGTGGCAACTCGTGGGATATCAGAAGGATTGACGGGTGGTCGCGGTGCGGCAGGAAGCGCCGGTTGGGCCTGCAGTATAGTCATAAACTTGAAACGACACGTTTTCAACTCGTTTCGTTGTATGTTATCAGTGAGCGAGAGGGCTTGAAGACCTCGCCCGCGAAAAATGCACTCTCCTGTGCCTTTCTCTCTGCCCATCCCAAATGTGAGCCCTGCCGACTCACTACAGAGCTCCTGCTGCTCCCACCAGCACACAGTTATGGACATGCCAACGCCCGACATGGAGGGCTGGAAGGGCGGGAACACCTCAGCTTGCTACACATGCATGATGCAGAGTCGACCAGCATTTGCAGCATGATCAGAGTCAATGATGTGCTCTTCTGTTCAACCTGTGCGGTTGGCCATCTCCAATGACCTCTATTGCAAGCAGTACACCATGTATTCAGCGGCACCCTGTGGCGTGGCCTACCGAATACTTCATCGCAATATTCATCCCGCAATATCTCTTCTACATACTGCTGTTGTTCAGGGTCGACCTCATCGCACACCTGCGCGCCTGCCGCCGCCGCACGCCGTACGAGAGCCTCCGCTGCATCGACGTTGTCCTTCGTATCCGGAGAGCACGACATCTGGGTAGCCGCCACGGTCACCAGTCTAGGAGTCGCCATGTTTAGGCCACCGGTGTGTAAATTGCTGTCTGACGCTACTGAGCCGGGACGACAGTGTGTCACCTCGACGGTTGTTGAACTCTGTCGGTGGTGGGAGTGGGAAGCGAGCATCAAGCGCATGAACTGGCATGAACCGACTCACCGGCTCCCCCGGAGATACCGGAGAACAGGGGTTCACGATGTGCTGTTTTGGTTCGCTCCACGGACTCACACAGTTTGTTCCGCCGCAACTTCGCCCAAAGGTCAAGAACAACCGCCGCCGCTGCTTGCCACGTTGCCCACCAACTCCGACTCTCCCTCCGTGCTCCTGGCCCCCCACCACCTCTACTCCTCGCTCTCCGCTGCACATCCCAACACACCCAGGCCTCTTCTTTATCCTAGGACTCGCTCAAGAGCGGTGTGGGACGTGAGACAACAGAAGAAAACCAGCCTCAAACCAGCACTTTGCATATCATCATCATCATGTCGTCTGCTGGTCGATCCTCCATTCTGTCGACGACCAATCTGGACGCGCCAGACTTCCGGTGGGTTAGCCTGAGGAAGATCGTGTGGCAGGTGGGTAGGCGTGATCGGTCGTGTGCCCAGCGATCGGTTGAGAATTTCCTATCTGGAAATAGAGCCGGCGCAGCCCAAACGAGAAAACAAAAATGCCTGAACCTTGTTTCAACTCAAAGAAAACAGTCGTGGCACCGAGGTGAGGGGGTGGTGTGGAGAAAACGCCCTCTCCACCCTCTCATTTCTTATTGCATCCTATAGAGTCACGACTGTACAACAATGCATCCTACGGAAGAAGCCGACTCTACCTCTTCTGTACTGTTGAGTCTGCATAATAATGGGGTTGGAGTAGCCCGCCACACATCGAGTGAAAGGTAGCCCGTCCTGGGCGTTACTTGGGGCACTGGGTTGTCGGCCGTGTTAGGCCGCGAGAGAGAGGTGGAGAGAGAGGTGGAGAGATAGTGGGAGAAGGAAACTTGATTGGAGAGAGACAGCGATGGCGGTGGAGAGGGAGAAGGAAGAAGGAGTGAGCAACACGCACGCAAGCCTCATCGTTCCAACCGCGCCGAAAGGGTCCCCGTGACTGCACCGCTGGTACCCTACAACACACGAAATTCCCAACATGTATCCCCTTGGGATCCTCACGACCAGATACTGCTGCGAGTATATCTACCATCCCCCCTGCTGGCACCAGTTTCTTACTGAAAACTTTGCTAACATCCGATATCTCAACCAAAAGACGTCTTTCCCAGAACATAAGTCATCTCAAGACTAGGCTATACAAAAAAAAAGAAAGAAAAATCGAAGGAACATGAATGAATGCTGTATTGCGCGAAACGAATACTTGGCGCGGAACATGAAAGCAAAACCTAAACACAACCCATCAGAAAAACAATAAATGTTCATGCCAAATTCGTCACAAAATCACGGTGAGACTCGAACGTGTCCTTCGGCAAGCTCTTCGTAAGAAAATCTGCACGCTGGTATGACGACGGCAAGTGGATCACCGAAATTTCCTTCCTCTCTACCAGTTCCCTGAGAGAATGGTGCCTTACATCTATGTGCTTCGAGTTTGAGTTTGAAATGGGGTTCTGCGCTAGTTGAATCGTCCCCTGGTTGTCCTCGAAGACTGGGATGCACGGTATGCCGACCTGCGGCAACATGGAACGCCATGTCTGCCTCAGCAACAAAATCTCAACCACTACGTCACCAAGCGCGACGTACTCTGCTTCAGTCGTCGAAAGCGTAACACACTTCTGCGTTCTGGAAAACCAAGACACGGCGCCTCCTCCACACGTGACGATCCCCCCTGATACCGACCTACGGTCTGCTGCCTTGCTTGCAAAGCCCGCATCAGCGTATCCCTGCAAACTGAAACCCTCTACCGTACCTCTCTGAAGCGAAATACCAAAGTGACTCGTCCTCCTCGCATACCCGAAAATATCCATCGCTGCGTCCCAGTGTACCAGCTCCGGAGATGCGCAATACCTAGCTACTGCCCTGACTGCATTCGCAATATCTGGCCTAGTCTGAGTCGCCAGCCACATCAAAGATCCTACCAGCTCACGAAATGGATGGTCTGTCTCCATCTCATCCGCATCAAAATCAGAAAGCTTCACCCCCGAAGACATCGGANCCCGAAAATATCCATCGCTGCGTCCCAGTGTACCAGCTCCGGAGATGCGCAATACCTAGCTACTGCCCTGACTGCATTCGCAATATCTGGCCTAGTCTGAGTCGCCAGCCACATCAAAGATCCTACCAGCTCACGAAATGGATGGTCTGTCTCCATCTCATCCGCATCAAAATCAGAAAGCTTCACCCCCGAAGACATCGGAACGCTCTTTCCTCCCACTACTCCATACTCTGCTGCTAGCTCATCCTTGAAAGTCTGCTGAGAAATCGTCAACCTACCGGTCTCCTTGTTCCTCTCGTAAAAGCACCCAGAATACCATTTCAACTCTCCCAGGTTCTTCACTGGCACGGACTTGTTAAGGGCGGCGCCAAACTTGTCACATCTCTCCCTCTCACCCACAGCAAAAATGTCATCTACATGTAGTACCAAATCAAAACAACACATCCATCCTCCATCAAACGAAACACACAAGCATCGGCCATGCACTGCTCAAAACCTAACGCCACCAAACACCTCTTCAGCATTGCATGCCACTGCCTAGATGCCTGTCTCAAGCCATACAGACTCTTGCCTAGTTGTTCAATCATTCCAGATAGAGCTCCACATCCCTGCGGCAAACGCATGTACACGTCTTCCTCCAACTCCGAACGCACAAAAGCTTGCTCAATATCGAAATGACACAAGTCGAGGTTCAACTCACACGCCAAAGCAGCCAACATCCTAACACATGAAACAGAAACGATAGGCGCGTACAACTCTCCATAGGTCAATGTACTCTCTCTGCATATCACCTCTCGCTACAAGTCTCGACTTAACCTTAGTGGGCCATCCAAACTCATCTGCCTTCCAATCGAATACCCACTTAGCGTTAATTNAAAAGCTTGCTCAATATCGAAATGACACAAGTCGAGGTTCAACTCACACGCCAAAGCAGCCAACATCCTAACACATGAAACAGAAACGATAGGCGCGTACAACTCTCCAAAAGTCAATGTACTCTCTCTGCATATCACCTCTCGCTACAAGTCTCGACTTAACCTTAGTGGGCCATCCAAACTCATCTGCCTTCCAATCGAATACCCACTTAGCTTAATTTCGTTCTCCACTAATTACTACTTCGCCGGAGTAAAAGTCCCCGCTTCCAATAAGCCATGAAACTCTCTTTGCATAGAGTCGCTCCACAGGTGCCGGTGCTCCGACGCCATGGCCTCTTTGTAGCTCTTTGGAACTCGAAGGTCGCTGGCTTGGCAGTGCGGAAGGTCAGGGCGTTGCTCCGGCGGGCGCTGGTCTCGCAGCGTGGCGTCGATGTCTTCCCGGTTGGCGAGGAGCGTGGCAAATGCGAGTGGAAAGCCCGCTTCTCTTGCCCCCGGGTCCGCCGCTGCGAGCGCTCCCGCCTGCTCTCCGGCCCCCGCTCCCCACGGCTCCCTGCGCTCCTCATCCACCGCGCCCCGAGCCTCCAGCATCGACACCAGAGTGTTCTTGTCTAGCATCGAGATGAGTCCTGTGCTGTGCCTTGTGCCCGATCTCGTACGGCTTGGCAGCCGAGGGTCTGTCATACCCTCGGCCTTTGTACCCGGGCGGAGCTGCCGCATGGCGTGAGACGTAAGGGGCGTCGCAGGGTCCGGCGGCGATGGTCTGGATCGGAGGTCGCCGATGGTGACGGCGAGGTAGCAGAGGTCGGCTGTGAAGGCGTGGGAGCGATCGGCGGCGTGGTCGCTGGCGGCGGCGTTGCGGCAGAGGCAGGGGGCGAAGCGGTAGCGGTAGCGGGAGCGGGCGACGGCGTGGGCGCTGGCGGCGGCGGTGCGGCGGTCGAAGGCGTCGGTTCTGGGCAAAAGTTGATCGAGACAACCGGTGGCGTGAACGGAGGGGATGTCGGCGCAGCGGTGATACCAGCGGAACCCCCCTCGCCGGCTGGCGCCGACGTCACCCACGACACGTTGTTGGTGTAGACGACGCGGCCGGTGGACGCCTTGAGGACCTTGACGGTGCCGCTCGGGTGGTTGTCGCCGCCGTTCAGGTAGTAGCAGATGGTGGCCTGGTCGTCGAGCTTGGTGCGGCGATCGTCACGCATGAAGCCGGGCTGGAAGAACGGCAGCACGCGGAAAGGCCCCTGCTCGCCGGTGAACATCTCGTGCGGCGAGCGCCGCCCGGGGTTGGCCTTGGTCGCCAACTGGTTGAGAGCGTCGGCGGCCCATTTCGCCGATGCCATCCAAAGACGGTCACCGCGCTCGTCGAGGCCGGGGATGGAGGCGAAGTCGACGTTGAACACACGGCCAGCGCTGCGGCGAGCGACCATGCCTGCCTTCATGATGCGCCAGATGGCGCTCTCCACTACGCCGTTGTACTGGGGAACGCCAGGCGGGGTGAACTCGACGCCTATGCCGTTGTCGTCGCAGAAGCGCCGGAAGTCGCCGCGGGTCCATTCGGTGCCGTTGTCGACAGGGGTGTCATCATAGCCATCCATGAGCTGCTCGTCGGTGAGCACACTCGTATCTTCAAGATCCATACCCGGAAAAGTACCGACACACACGAACTCGGAGGCCGAGGAAGGTACTACGTCGGCAGAGCCGGCGGGCGGGACGCTCTCACTCGCAGGTACTGCACTGGTGGGACCAGTGGGCGGGACGCTATCAGCCGAAGGTACTACGCTAGCAGAGCCAGCGGGAGGAATACGCAACACGGACACCAATGATTTCGCGGAGCCCCCTTTCTGGGAAGGGGAACGCGGGGAGCCAACGGCGGGGGCGGAATCGGGGGCAGTCACGAATGCAGGCAAAGCAGCAGAGTCTACTATAGTCGCAGATGGGTCGTATGGCAACCGCATGGCATACGCTGCAGACGCTTTTTCCTCTCTAGCAAAAGAGCAGTCCATTTTGTAGGGTTGCACCACGCTCGTCGTAGAGGATTTGTTGCTTCAGAGCAACAGCATGCGTTGAGAACAAGTTGAAGCTCAGGCTCTCTGCTACAGACGCGTCAGTGAGCTTCGTACACATCGTCGTTTTTTCGCCATTCATCATCCTCCTGAAAGAAACTATGATTGATGCTACCGATAGCTTGCACTTCGAGCAGTCGACCATCACCTACATCGACATCCTGCCTACTGGCAGGGATCTCTTGCAAGAGGTACATGTGCAGGCTGCTGTTTGTAAAATTGTTGCTGGCTCCTGCGTCAGCTACCCATCTCTCGCTACCAGGCGGCCCCTCACTAGATTCCACACTCAGCAAAGACGAAGCAGACGCAGCAGACTCTACTCCAATCGTCCCTCCTATCCTACGAAAAAAATCTTCGGGGTGAGACTTGCCTAGGGGCACCGGTTGTGCCGTGCAGAGGTGGAGGTAGCCCGAACATGGAGGCGCGCCAGGAGAAACAGTAGAGGACGAGGAGGAAGTGGTGCTGCTGCTGCTCGCGGGGGGTCCGACGTGG